TTTTTCAGTGAAGAACAGCTTAAAGCTTGTATGACTTCAGAAGTTGTTGTATGGACCAATTATATGGTGCTTTTTTGGCCTTTTCCCATGTTTTTCTGGTTAATAAATGAAAAAGAGCAATATATAAGAATTACACATAACAGCGGTCACACCTTTCAAATACAGAGAGAACATAAACCCCAAATGAATTAATCCTTCTCACTTCTGGTCACTAATAAAGTCCTCAAACTCAAGTTATGGAATATAATAATATTACATGATCTGAAGAAGGCTTTTTGAGCAAAAGCCTCAAGAGGTTTCTTTATTACAGTAATATTCCTCAACGCTACATGCAATAAAAGCGGCACAGAGGAGTAAAAACTATTATTATCGGAAGAGGAAAAAAAAATAATAAAAACTTTACAATGGCCGGGTGGCTCTTGCATCAACCTCTCTGCATGATTAGGAGAAGAACCACGATAATCAGTCAGTTACACTCCTTTCTTGGATTTTTTTAAGACATTGTTTTTTTTCTGTGAGGGCCAGGAGACAGATAGAAGGCTGTCAGATAATGATGATAGATATATGTGGGGTAAAGTGGAGTCTGAGTCAGCTGGGAGTTTTTTGGGGAGGGTGGTTGTCTTTCTTCTAACATGTAAGATGCTCAAAAACAAACCGAATCCATTAGATGATGCAATTCTCCTCCTCAAGGAAGAAATTGGCAACTATTACAACTGCCCGATAGATTTATGAAATCTCGGAGGGATTGGAAGAGTCGTTCCTTCATCCACCTGTTTCTTCTAGAGAGTGGCTGCATTCAAAATTCCCTACTATATAGTAAGTGAAAAATAGTATGTTAGAAGAGTAGCATGTCCAAATTTACAGTATTCATAACACAGTATGCATAGGGTATCCGAATGGCCTGCTACTTCCACTAAGATTATGAAGTGCGCATCCTTTGGTATCCCATGAGGCCACAGGAAAGGAGTTGCAAATGGCAGTGAAGAGACACAACTGATGCTGGTAGGTCACATGACTGGGGCTGTGCAATTAATCGCATTCGATTGTCATGCGCATCTCGTCAGTAAAACCGGCTTTACTGACGAGATGCGCATGACAATCGCATGCGATTAATTGCACAGCCCTACACATGACAATAACAACATGGCCAATGTAGTACGTCCAGATTACATTTAGACTACACACATTCAAACTATGTAGAATAAACTTCTTTAACGGTTGCAAATGGACATAATTTCTTACTCAAAACAAGTAACCTTCACAGAAGGTATGTGATTTTGGACACAGCCAATGACTGTTCAGAGGGGAAGGACACGGGATGGTGTTGAGACTTACAGTGGGGACAAAACAGGCAAAATGTCTGCCACACAATTAGCTCAATTCATCCCAGATCTCACTTTTCCAGTCCAATGCAATAGTTAGTTGGATTAAAGTAAAAGTGTTTACAAGGCATTTTGTTGTTATGTAACCTGACATATTTCTGAGTGAAATTAGATATTCAAACAAAAGTTGAGGAGGACTTGAATTGAATCTAAATCCGCTGAGCAGAATAAAACACTTTTATGATTACAAAAATTCATAGCATGTTTAACATCAGCAACTGTTTTTTTTTTTTCCTAAGAGCACAATGCTGTAAACATTTTCAGCAGAACTACTGGAAACGGACAGTTCCCCGCAATCACAGAGATGCTTTCTGATTGTTCTTATCACTGTATTATAGCTTTGAGATGGAAACATCATTCCAGGAATCTAAACGCAAAAACACTGAAGCAAATGGGGCTTTAAGAATCAGTCCAGAGCACTGTTGCAATAATGCGATTACTTTCCTGGCCTGAGCCGCTGGCTTTTGATGGATGAACAGCCACCCGTCTGCCTGATAAGTCATCTCCCTCATACTCTAAAGCCTTTAAACCAATTACTTTCCTAATTCAATGCCACAAACCCTACGAAATGGTTTCACATTATTTTTATGCAACAACTGATGTGAAGAATGTGCCAACAAACTTGTTGAAATAAGCACTGAGAGAAGCTCAACCACACTGCAATCGAACATGTGATTCATTTTGATTCATTTTGCTTACTGCTCCAGTTTCACATCTATATGATTGCATCAGACACCGAGATTAGACCAGCGTCCCATTCAGCCTGTTCTCTTATTTCCTGTTTTCTATGTTGATTGACCTTACAGCAACCTTGCAGAAAGTTTCAGAGGGGAAGCTGTCTTGTAAACAAAAACTTTACAATGCAAAGGAGGAAAAAGTTTTTTTATCCATTTTTCTTATCTGTTTTTCTTCTTTCTCTGTTAATATGAATTCTTGAGTTGCCTTATAGCTTCCTAAGACTTAGCCTACAGCCTGAATGATGCACAGTCATATTGACATTAGGTTAAAAAAAAAATGCTTAACTTTAAAAGTACTGTTTCAACAGGCAAGTCATGTATATATTTGTGTATGAAACTGAATATATATCTATATACATAACACATGAGTAATAAAATGTACTGTTGTATGTGTATATGAGTCTGTGTCCTTGTGTGTACCTGCCTAGGGACTGCGGATGTAAATTAGCAATGTTGCTATAATCCGGCTTGTTTACATTCTGTATTACTACAAATGTTCATTAACATGCATTGTCCATATCAAATAAATAAAAAATAAATAAACATGCATTAAAATATACATTTATTGTTTACTGAAAATCATACGTCATATTTTGCTATATCAGCCTGCAGCCCTACATCACACTAAGGAAACTGTAGAAATAACCTAGTATGTGAGAGTAAATACACATTACGGAAATGTGAAACTCAGACAAGCTCCAGTCAAGTGATAATGATTCTACTAGTTTGCAAGGTTCACGGCTCACAGAACAGCAGTAAACTCAAAAGAAGGTTTAAATTCGTCTAAATATCCCAAAGCTCACAGGCATTGTTACTTCAATTAGGCCGCATAATGCCTGAACTACGTTGAGATAAACAAAAAACCTCAATCATTCACGAAACACATTTTTGTAGTTGTTGTAAGCAGAGCACAACACAGCTGTTAAGAGTTTCCATTTGATCGAACATGTGATTCATTTTGATTCATTTTGCTTACTGCTCCAGTTTCACATCTATATGATTGCATCAGACACCGAGATTAGACCAGCGTCCCATTCAGCCTGTTCTCTTATTTCCTGTTTTCTATGTTGATTGACCTTACAGCAACCTTGCAGAAAGTTTCAGAGGGGAAGCTGTCTTGTAAACAAAAACTTTACAATGCAAAGGAGGAAAAAGTTTTTTTATCCATTTTTCTTATCTGTTTTTCTTCTTTCTCTGTTAATATGAATTCTTGAGTTGCCTTATAGCTTCCTAAGACTTAGCCTACAGCCTGAATGATGCACAGTCATATTGACATTAGGTTAAAAAAAAAATGCTTAACTTTAAAAGTACTGTTTCAACAGGCAAGTCATGTATATATTTGTGTATGAAACTGAATATATATCTATATACATAACACATGAGTAATAAAATGTACTGTTGTATGTGTATTTGAGTCTGTGTCCTTGTGTGTACCTGCCTAGGGACTGCGGATGTAAATTAGCAATGTTGCTATAATCCGGCTTGTTTACATTCTGTATTACTACAAATGTTCATTAACATGCATTGTCCATATCAAATAAATAAAAAATAAATAAACATGCATTAAAATATACATTTATTGTTTACTGAAAATCATACGTCATATTTTGCTATATCAGCCTGCAGCCCTACATCACACTAAGGAAACTGTAGAAATAACCTAGTATGTGAGAGTAAATACACATTACGGAAATGTGAAACTCAGACAAGCTCCAGTCAAGTGATAATGATTCTACTAGTTTGCAAGGTTCACGGCTCACAGAACAGCAGTAAACTCAAAAGAAGGTTTAAATTCGTCTAAATTCGGCTCACAGGCATTGTTACTTCAATTAGCCCGCATAATGCCTGAACTACGTTGAGATAAACAAAAAACCTCAATCATTCACGAAACACATTTTTGTAGTTGTTGTAAGCAAAGCACAACACAGCTGTTAAGAGTTTCCATTTGTTGGAATCAATGGTTCAGCAAAGATCACATTTCACGGATGCTTTTGTCAAACATTTCGGACATGAACTGCAATCACTCTCTGTGGCAGGAATGTTAAACTATTCCTCTCAATGAATGACACGGAGATAAACATCTTGAATCAAGAACATGTCTAATCAACGACAATCTCCCACACAATATATACTAAATGCTTAACTGAGTACTTGCATCGGGTTACCACAATTTTCTCTCTTTCTTGCCAGGTTTCCATGACTTGAGGTAAACCATGACAGTGTTATCTGTCTGCTCTCACCACAGTGGAACCCAGTTAACATATGCCTATTTTTGCAGAATGTCTACAATAAAACCACTGCTTTTGCTTCAGAACAAATATATTTAAAACAGCCCCCACACTAAAGAGGCAATAATAGGAACAAATAAATAGATTTTTTTTTTTTATCACTGCAACATGACAACAAAACAATCAACAAGCCAGTGAGACAGATAATACCATTTCACTCTGTAAACAAAAGAAAAAGAAACCATTTTACAAGTTTGTTCCTTGGCATCCTGTTTCATTCTGAATAGGAATAGAATCATCCCTGTGAAAGAACATTCACGGCATATCAAAACAAAGAAATAAACAGCAAAATGGACTGTGGAGAGAAAACACACTGCAAAGACATAAATATACATAAGCAGAAATCTCATCTGTCCTGTAAAATGCATCAGAATAAACAAGGAAAAAAAATAGTCATGCCTGTACCATTTACAGACACCAGAGGTCAGGCAAGCACAACAAATGCAAAGTGGATCCTAGACTATACAAAACATCCAGCAGGAGTAAAAGTAAAAATTAAAACATGAAAATCACAGTGCCACACTTGTGCACTAATTGCCTTGCTAAGGTAATTTAGCTTTAAAACTGCAACTGATCAGAAACAGCAAACTCACCAGCATTCACTATGGCATCCAGCTCCAGGATGGTAATGTCACCTTTGTACAGAGACACTTTGTCAGTCAAGGAGAAAGACTTTTGTTCTTCTTCCTTAGTAGCTGTATGGTAAAGATAGAGTAAAGATTAATTTATGGAAAAGCTACTATTTCAGCTAATATTGCATGTTGACTCTCTGTATTGATTAGAACGATACAAGTTCATCAAAGGTCCTACAACACTCTACTGACACACATCCGCTCTATGATCACTCTATAATGACAAGCATTGATCTTTTAAATAATGCAACTGGACTGGATGATATCAAATGAGAAGCAGAGTGACACCACACTGTGGCCACTGGTCAAAAAGAAAACAACAAACATCTGGTCAGAGATGTGGCCTATTGGACGAACATACTCCGGTATGTCACACTGTGGTGCATTTTGCGGGTGAAAAAAAAAATAAAAAGATCTCACCTTTTTTTTTTTTCTTTCAGCAAGGATGCATTAATTGTTCAAAAGTGACAGTAAAGACATTTGCAATATGTTACCAATTATTTTAGCTTTAAATAAATGCTGTAGTTTGAACTTTCTATTAATCAAACAATCCTGAAAAAAGCATCACGGTTTCAACAACAATATTAAGAAGCGCAACTCTTTTCATCTGTAATAATTTTCTGAAGGATCATGTGATATTGAAGACTGGAGTAACGGCTGCTGAAAATTCAGCTTCACCATATTCTTTAATGAATGAAAAGTAAAAAAGAACAGCATTTATTCAAAATAGAAATATTTTGTAACAATATACACAGTATACACTACCATTCAAAGGTGTGGGGTCAGTAATTTTTTTTCTTCTTTTTTTTTAAAGAAATTAATGCTTTTATTCAGCAAGGATGTGTTAAATTGATAAAAAGTTTTAATAAGGGCTTATATTGCTAGAAAAGATTTCTATTTTGAATACATTTTTAACTTTATTCATCAAATAATCCTGAAAAAAGTATCACAGGTTCCAAAAAAAATATTAAGCAGCACAACTGTTTCCAACATTGATAATAAATCAGCATATTAGAATGATTTCTGAAGGATCATGTGACACTGAAGACTGGAGTAATGATGAAAAATCAGCTTTGCATCACAGAACTACATTTTATTTTAAAGGAGACATATTATGCCCCTTTTTACAATATGTAATATAAGTCTCTGGTGTCCCCAGAATGTGTCTGTGAAGTTTCAGCTCAAAATACTCCACAGATCATTTATTATATCATTTTGAAAATGTCTATTTTGAGTGGAAGCAGAAACACGCTGTTTTTCGGGCCTGTCTCTTTAAATGCAAATGAGCTACTGCTCCCC